GTAATTTATTATTGAAACAGCACAACCAAGCTGTTGAGAAACTTCTGAGTTTTCTCTTTCAGAATCAGTCCCAATTTGGTTTCAAAAATCTTCACTGTATCCTTTAATAGGATCCATTTTAAAGCAATGTGAAGGCAACAACAATGAAAATAGATGTACATAATACTTTGACAACTAATTTTCATAAACTAATGTTATTGTTGTTACCAAGAGTGCTTTAACACATTTTTTTCTATTGTGTTCAAAAAATTTTTCCATTATGATGTTTGCATAATAAAAGATCTTATCATTAGAAATAAGCTCCAGAATTTTTATTACTCTAGGATTATTTGTTAACAAATAGAAAAAATTTTTGTAATCGATAATTTTCACATAGCTGTTGCTATTCAAAAACTTTTTTCTAGGGTTATATGACATAGCTGATGTAAGTACAGTAGAGCGTCGATTTTCGGAATCAATTGGGGACTGGGGTTGTTCGTATAACTGATATTTCGGATAACCGATTTATGTACGAAAAAGTAGTTTAATGTATCCGATGTTGAAATTTTTCTCAGTTGCATGTTGCTTCACGTTGAATTTTCATCGATGTTAAGCCTAACAAAGAATATTGTATCGTCAAAAATTATTTTTTTATTTTGTACAAACAAAATAAATATATTGAAAAATATAAAAAATTATACTTCAGATGTTAATTTAGTATCAAAAACGTAAAATATTTGAGTAGCCCAAGACATAGCCAAAGATTGAAGCGCCACAGCACTGGCGAAAATTTAAATTTGCCGACTGGAATTCTTTCGGATGATTGACTTTCGGAAAATCGATTCTCTACTGTACTAGCAGCCATATGGTGATGTGAAAATAGAAATTGTTTTTTGTGTAGATTTATTTGTGGTGACAAACATGCTAAACAATTACTACAATTATTGAAAAAACAATATTATTACTTTCAGAATATTTTGTCAACAAATGATTCTTGTGTTTTACAATTTTTAGGAATCAATAAAACAAACAAAATTTTACTGTATATTTTATATTACAGTATAAAATTTTAAACATGCATTAAAAAAATTATAATCATATTTTGAATATTAAAGAATTAGTTTATTTAGGAATTAATCATTGGAAAAGGAAAGTATGGAGTATTGTATAAGTTTTTATACAGAGTTTTAACTGCTAATATTTGTAAAGGAATACTCTTGAATTTTTAGAAATCCAGAAATTAGAACTACACCTATTACAAAGTAAAACTTCACTTATTTTAGTTGGCTATATTCAGTTGATATTTCTTATTGTAAATATCTCATGATGTTCAAACAGCAAATAGCTCCTTTTCTTGTAGTTGATGTAATATGAAAGGCATTGTAAACAGGACTTTTGAAAGTATCTGAGCATTTTATGAATATATAAAATGTCTTAATAGAACTGTTGATTCCTAAAGATATAATTTTTATACAGTACATAAAAAATCAATATTTTTTAATCATTTATTATGTTGAATCTTTAATGTTGCTTTTTAGGTGTTTAAAATTAAAATTCAAAGATGAGCAAGATATCTGCTCATCTTCAGGAATCAATTACTTCTTAAATAGTAACGTTAAATGTTAACACAAATTTTTTACTTAATTTTATAATGTTTCAACAATATTTTTCAGAAAATTTAAATCTATAATGATAAGTTAGATAGACTCAAAAGAGTTTGTTATAAATATTTAAAGCAATAAATTGCATGTGTCTTATAGCTTTAGTTTGAGTTGATGTTTTTCAGGTTTTGTAGTGTGAAATCTGGAAATAACATTGGATACAAATACATTACTATTTATAATTTTTGGGTAATATAATTAACTACTAAATCTAAACTCCAAATTCTAAATGAATATTTTAAGATTATGTTAGAAATATAAATTTATTACTTATATTGTAACAAACAAATTTTTTATTTAATTGCTTGTTGATAAAAATTAAAAATTAATTTCCTATTCTATTCCATTTGACTTGAAAAAGGAATCCTACTCTTTATAACATATCTTCAATTAGAAAAATTTTAAATTTATAGTAAATATCATTCTTAAGTTAAAATTAATATTTATTTTAACCGATAAATATATATTATATTTAAATAAAATCTGGCTGATGATAATACTTTTGTCCTAGAAATAATCTATATAAGTCATTGAATTTCAAAGATTTATTTTTTTATCATCAGTAATTTTATGAAGTAATTTAAAAATAAAACAAAATGTTTTATAATATTATAATTTTAATATTCACTATTCAAAATTGAATAGTGAATAATAGAATCAGAATTATTAATGGCTTATTAAATGTTTACCAATATTTAATAAGGACACAAAAAATAGAAATATGTTACATAGGTGTATAAGCTTAAATCTGCTGTTTTTTAGTCAGAAAAACACATGTTTTTTTCTTAGAAAGCAAAAACAAATTTATTCAAAGTACTTTCCCTCACTAGTGACACATTTGTTCATCTCTCAGGCAATGTGTGGATACCATGCCAAAAAAATTTCTTTTCTTTTGAGGCAAACCACTCATCAAGCCATTTTCGGACGTCTTCGTAAGAATCGAAGTGCCGCTCAGCAAGCGCGTGGCCCATCGATGAAAAGAGGTGATAGTCGGAAGGGGCCAGGTCTGGTGAATAAGCGGGATGGGGTAGCACCTCCCAGTTGAGTGTCTCCAAGTAGTTTCGGACCAATGTTGACACATGCGATGGTGCATTGTCGTGGAGGAAAATCAGCTTGTCGTGTCTTTGCTGATAATCCGGCCTTTTTTCACGCAGAGCACAGTGCAATTTGATCAGTTGTTGGTGGTAGCGGTGAGCATTGACAGTTTCACCAGGTTTCAACAGCTCATAGTAGACAATACCCTGCTGATCCCACCAAACGCACAGCATTGTCTTCCGTCCAAAGCGATTTGGTCTTGGGAAAGATGTTGATGGTTTGCCTGGATCAACCCACGATTTCTTGCGTTTAGGATTCTCAAAATATATCCATTTCTCATCGCCAGTTACAATCCGATGCAGAAACGACTTTCTTTTTTGTCTGGCGAGCAAGATTTCGCATGTGTTTTGGCGTCGCTCCATCTGCCTATCGTTCAATTCATGCAGCACCCATTTTCTGATCTTCTGAATCTTTCCCATGGCACGTAGACTCATGGAAATGGCTGGTTGAGTAACACCCGATTGCTCGGCAAGCATTTTTTGCGATTGGGTATCGTCCTCAACCAAAAGAACCTGCAGTTAATGGTCCTCAACCTTCCTGGGCCAATTTTCATGCTTCTTGTCACTCAGGTAAAAATTTCCATCTTTGAACTGATAAAACCAATCTCTACATGTGGTTTCCGATAAAGCTCTGTCTCCATAAGCCTCCACAAGCATTTGATGTGCTTCGGCAGCCGATTTCTTCAAATTAAAGCAGAAAAGCAAAGCTTGCCGCATATGCTCTTTTTCTGGCACAAAAGTAGACATGATTACCAAAAAAAAATATATGTTGTTGTATGAAATATCTGATGATGTGCACTGATTAATGTTGACAAGACGTCAAAATCATCAAAAAAACAATATGGTGTCGTCATGGTAACTTAATACACTCGCTTACGCCATCTATTAGCAAACAGCAGATTTAAGCTTATACACCTGGTATATAGGTCTAATATCAAAATTGTTTATGGAACAAATATTAATTATCCTTAGATTCCTTCAAGACACCAGAATTTGAATGATATCTAAATAATTTTAAGTGATACATTCAAAGCTAATTTTTTTATGAATGGAGCACTTATCTAATGAGCTGTATCAAAAGTTCACTTCAGTTTGCAAGCTTTTTTCATTAAATGATTCATATGCACAAAAAGTATACAGTAAATAGGGATTAGTGGAAAGATTGAAACTTATATGCATATTAATCATATTGAAGATTAATTATGATGATGATCTGTAGCAAAACTTCTGATTTTATCAGTATATTTTTAGGAAAATAAATGATTTTCTGGAACTTGTCTGCAAACTCCAGTTTGGGAAGTGCTGATCTATGTATGGAATAAATTAGATTAAGATATGAAAGTAAATTATGAATCAGTTATCAAGATTCTTCTTATATATATGTGATATTATTATGAAAAATCATAAAGTATTAGTTTTTTTAAAATAGAAAAATTATAATCTTTCTTCTAAAGAAAACTTTAATGAAATATATAAATAAATACATGGCTTAACGAACATACAGTACTTAAACCCCTAGAAAAAGTTTTTGAACATAGTAGAAAAAAATGAAATTAAAATTGTTTTGTATTTTGTTGGGCTTTTGTTGGCCTTAATATCTTTAATGTGGGATGACACTGATTTAACAAGTTCTGAGCAATAGTCATCATTTATTTCTTTCCAACTATGCAACAAAACAGCTTTCAATTCTTCCTTTATTTTTCATCTAGTAACATTTTCAGTTTAGCCCACAGATCAATAACATTTAAATCAGGGCTCTTTGATGGTCAATGTAAATATTTAATGTTTTATTTTTTCAAAAATTCTTCTACATTTTTCATGCAATGACAACTTGCATTATCATCTTGGAGAACAACTCCCTCTTCTTCAAATTGATTTTCTACCTTAGGAATCAGAAAAGTGTCCAAAATTTCTTTGTACATTTTGCTACAGTTTCTTTTAGAATACACAGTTCTTCATTGCCTTTTGCTGACTTACAACTCCATATCATAAGATCAACTGGGGATTTCTTATGCAAAAGACATTCATGTCAAAACTTTTTATCTGTTCTGCACCATACACATTCTCCAGCATTGTCTCCACCAGGGTTGTGGAGTCGAAGTTGGGAGGACTTTCTGGCCAGAAGAGTCGGAGTCGACACAATTTTCCTGACTCCAACTCTGGCATTTTAAATTTAATTTAGTTTTTTGTTTTATTNTGTATATATATACATATTAAAATATTTATTAAATTAAATTAACTAAAAAATTTTTTTTCAATTCTACAGAAAACAGTGTTAGTCATTGGAATCCATATTTAGGAAATACAGAATTGGCATTTGTCATTGCTGGGCCAATTTGTTTAGTTTGCATATTTTTTATGTTGGGTATGTCAATATGGCAAAGGAAACAACGATTACATCGATACAGGGCAGATGTAGAAATTGCTTCTGAAATAAATCATACTATTCTAGGACCTGGTTATTCATTGAAAGATATGATGATAGATACAACTACATCAGGTTCTGGTTCAGGTACTGTATTTAAAAATTAAAATTTTATTTTAATTCATTTGTATATAAAATAATACAATTAACTGCTTTAGTTGTTGTCTTATTCTAATGTAAAGAAAGTAGAATTTCATAATCATAATAGTAAACATTTATTATTACGTTTTACAGTAAGCTAATTAGAAGTTGATCTTAAAAATTTTCATAAAGATAATTTATAGAAAGATATAAATATACCCAAAATTCTATTTTTATATGATTTTGATTTTAACAGATTTCACTAAATTTGCTTTTTTAAAATTTCCATTTGATTTTAATTGTAAGAAAAAGTATTTATACTTCTTTTCTAGAAAATTGCTTTTAAAAATAATTCTTAGAATTTGCATTTAAGGCTGCTGAAATAATGAACTGGATGTGTGGGCATGGTTACTTTTGTCATTTTGCCCACAGTCTCACACTTTACTGTTTCTCCATAACAAACTCAGCTCTCTGCCTATTCTGTGGAGAGAATGGACAGCCAATAAAAAAACAACTGGGAAAGTAAGGGTTTCAGACTGACGAGTTAATCAGTATCACCATTTACCTATCACCCACCCCACCCAACCCTTGATGTCATTTCTTTTGAACATATAAATAGATAATTGTTGGTCCATCAGGTTGGTTTCCTGCTACTAATCAGTCATATAGTTATGTAATGCACTACATGATCAACTATGATCAAATTAATCCCAGATAATACCCAAGAATATAATGTTACATAAAGTTTGGGTTCAACCAAGTACCAGGCTGGGACTTTGATAGTGGTAAGAGTAATTTACATGAGTCTTCACCAAAAATCAGAAAAAAACAGAAATTGACAAGTATTCAATTAAACTAATAATAATATTTATTAAGTCAAACACTAATATAACAAGAATAAATATGAACATGATGAATTAGTACTAAAAATATATATTTCAAACTATATATATTGTAAATAATTTTTTTTTGTACAGAGTTGAATTGATTTGTTTTGAATATATTGTTTGGAAAATAAATAGATAAATATAATAAATATATATATTTATATTTTCCAACTTGGAACTTAAAACTATCTTATTCCTAATCTCCACAAAGACCAACTAAATCTAATTCAAAAGTACACAAAATATTTTCTGGTGACATTTAAGTGCATAGCCTAACTGTTACTAAAAGAATGCCAGAAAATTCTTTAAGAGTAGATCACCTCAGACTCAATGCTTGGACTCTTCAATCTCACATTCAGGAGTTTCACCTCACCTGTTGAATTGTTGCATTGTCTTTTTCTGGCTTAGGGTGATGTCACAAAGTCTAATGCCACCCTATCCTGTTTACATACTTAGACTAACAGTTATGTTTTTTTCTTTTTCAAATTATGTTGCAATTTTTCATAAATTTATTATTTGAATTTTCCATTTGATTACACTTCAATACATAATAGTTTTGGAATAGTTTTTGCTGTGTTGCTTGCATAGTAGCCTGTATAGTGTTACACTAGAATACAGTAATACCCCGAACTTACGTGATAGGTAGAACCGAGAGATAACCGCGTAAGTCAAATTCGCATAAGTCGGGGTATAATTTCGCAATTTGTGTAAAATCCAAGTCGGATGTATGTAAGCTAATAAATGTTCTCGTTAATCTTATCTCGTCTTTTGATTCGTTCATGGTTACAAGAAATCACCACACAGAGCCTCTCAAGTCTCCGTAGATATAACAAATACAGAAATAAATAACACAAAATAAATTGTAGCTATGTGTCAATTCTGCGTGACACATCCGAACATGTAAGCTGAACAATAGTGTGAGGGGAATGAGTAATCAAGAGTTGCGTGGCGCTCAAACAAAAGATGAATCTACGAGATTTGAAAATCGTGTAACTCTGGGTTCGCGTAAGTCGAGGTATTACTGTACTATAGTGTAAGGTTAGGGCCCTATTATAGCACACCAAATTGGACAATGTTTTGACTAACTCCAGTTTTTATTTCCAAGAAAATGACTAAACTGTCACCTTGACTCTAGATCAGTGATGAGCAAATTTTTCTGGTCCACAAGGGAACTTCTTCAGGTAGTCTTCTGGTTAGGTTAGGCTACTTTCAGTTTTTCTCATGGAGTTGCATTTTGCAAGTTTTAGTTGCAAAATACTAACATAATTGCCAATATAATAGGTTCTAAAATAATACATGCTGATATATGCACACTAGTAATGCAAAATTTATTGTGAACTTTTTACTGGTTAAGTTTGGTTTGAATGTTTTTCATCACAAATATCAGCTTAATTAAGGTTGTGCAAAATGGCATGAGGCAGAAAACAAGAGAATAAGATTGTTACTGAAGTCCCAAGTGTACATATTGGGAACTTGTCAGGCTGTGGGTTGCTCATGATTGCTCTATGTGATAGCTTAATGCCCCCTTATACAATGTAGTACTATGTACATGATTACTCCTTTGATGTTACCACATATATCAACATCACATTAGTCAAATACAGTGGTACCTCTGTACTCAATTGAACAATCACAACCTTCTAGAACAAATTTTTGGTTAATAACAAATATTTTTATTTTAATTTTGTTATCCATAAGAAAAGTTTTCTACGATAAAAATTGCAACTAATTTAAAAATAAAATGAAACCTTAGAGATGCTTACTTTCATTAGACAAAATTATACTCAATCCAGTTTGTTTTTTCGCTTAAATCATATAGACACAATCATCATGTTGGTGACACACAAAGATTTGTTATTTGTTGATTTTTAGCAATTTCTTCCTGAAATTTCTCTTTGTCAATAGCTTTTGAGTGTCCTGTATATTTTTTATCCTTTAGTTCAAAATTTCCCAAACAAAACTTTCAAAATCACATTTGACATGTCCAACATTTAGCAGCATCATCCCCATACACTAAGACTATTTTTTATTGTTTGTATAATGTTATATCTTTTACAAAACTTAAAAAGCATACATAATATGCCTAATATGCATTTTATCTGACATTTCAATTTGATTTTACACAAACAAAATGTGAAGTAAAGTTTTACAATAAGCTTCTAAACAAAGAATACAATATCACATTAGCAGTAATGTGTTAAATTTCAAAACTATCATAATTAAACTACACATCTATATATCTATAACAGAAATTACCCCAGTATGAAAATAGCAAATTCACGAACATTTTATTTGTTGAGAAAAACATTCTGTAACAAAGATAGCTATTAAAGCTGCATTAATTAAAATTTCTGCAGCATATATGAAAGGATTGCTGCAATTACTTTTGCATGTTAATCAAATCCTGCATTAGGCAAAACCATTTTAAACCAGTGATAACTGTATTACTATTGGATGTAGTACAAGATCAGTACTCTCAATCCATTATATATTAGTCACCCCTCAAATAAGATCACCCCTTGAGAAAACCAGTTTTACTTTAAGGTTTTTATTGTATATGTGTGTAAGCATACTTTACATTACCATATGTTTACAAGGTTTTACTTGAAATATCTGTAATGATTGTTTAAAGTTTTTTTTTTTTTTTTGTACCTTTTGTTATTGATAGGAAGTCTTTCTACTTTTTATTGATATTATCCTTAAATATGATTTATAAATTTCTTCCAATTACTTCATATTTAAAATTAAATGATTATTACTATTATTTTTTTTATTAGGTTTGCCACTACTTGTTCAACGTAGCATAGCACGGCAAATTCAATTAATTGAAATAATTGGCAAAGGAAGATATGGTGAAGTCTGGAAGGGTCGTTGGAGAGGAGAAGCTGTTGCAGTAAAAATATTTTCATCTAGAGATGAAAGATCGTGGTTCAGAGAAGTTGAAATTTATCAGACTGTCATGTTAAGACATGATAATATTTTAGGATTTATTGCTGCTGATAACAAAGGTAAGAAAACATTTTAAAATTATCATCAAAATTTTTAAGCTAAGAAATTCTATTGGTTTTCATTTATTTTCTGTTAATCTGTTGATATCTGAAATTGATTTTTTCATGTGCATTGTGACATATAATGAGAGATTTTACTGTTTTATCAATATGTTCTGAAAATGTGTGTTATCAAACATTACACCTAGGTCATTTATAGAGTTAACATAATTCAAAAGGTGTTTATCAATGGTGAAGGGAGGTGGAGGCATATTCCAAAATAGAGAAAAGCATTTGAGAATGATTTTTTTTAATNCACTGTGATTCACTCTGTTTCGTATGCAGACGACATAGTTATTATTGCGCCCACAGCAGTAGCTCTTAACAGGAAAATTCAAGTAATAACCAAATATTTCGAACAATTGAGAATAAAGATTAACCCAAAAAAATCAAATATAATGATTTTTAGAAATGGGGCTAAACTCCCCAGGAGAACTATGTCCTTCTACATTAATAACAATGAAATAAAATTGGTCAATGAAATTAAGTTTCTGGGGATTATCTTGACACCTTTACTGTGCTTATATATATATATATATATATATATATATATATATCAGCAATATAACATACCAATTTTTTATTTAGTCAAAAATTTAAGTCTGTTTAAAATGATTAAAATATTTATCACAAAGATAATACAGTAGCCCTAAAAATTCTGGGCTTTTACTAAACAGATTATACATACTATGGAATCTCTATCCTCTTATTCTTTCATCAGTAAATATTTCTGATATAAAATAAGCTGAGTTTCTCAATACTGAATTTTATTCATGGTTATATTGTATTAATTGACATTTACGTAAACCTCGATACCATGAACGTTCGTCCATTTAGCATTATTGTTTCTTTAACAATGACATTTAAACACAAGTACTGTCAATATAAAAACAAATTATCAATTGAGATTTTATTATATGATACTATATTTCACAATTAGTAGCTTATTAAAAATTCATATAAATTATATTTTTCAATAAAAATTATAAATACAGTAATTGAAAATTTTAAAAATAAATATTTAACATAGAACATCAAAACCTATAAAATTACAGAGTAAAAATTCTCTAAAAAGCAAAATAAAGTTACTACTATATAAACATTTCACAACTTTCCCTTCAGAAATAAACAAATTTTTTCTTTATACATTATGTGGTGAACTGGAAATTTCACACCTTTATACAAAGGTGTGAAATTTCCAGTATTGCCTCAATTCACATAAAGTGTAAAATTTCAAATTCACAGAAACTTGTAAATGAGGTTAAAACCAATAAATAAACAACTTTTAATATCAAAATGAAACATAAATGATAATTGATCTGTTCACCTGTTTTGCTTATTTAGATCTTGACTAATTTATTGTTTCACTTGCAGTGGTAGTTTCAAAGACAATGATAGGAATAAAATACCATATTCCATTGCAAAAAAGAAATTCAATGGAAATTGATAATTTAAAATTTATTGACTCCAGTGCTTGTAAAATTTGGAGACCAAAACAAGTGTGATATATTCGAATCTGCAATGTATTATGTTAGGAGCTATTGTATTATGTTTGATATTTCTTTATAACATCCATATGATATTATGTTATGTGGATGTTAGATGTTACATAGCATATTAAAAATACACATGTTGCACATAACATGAAAATTTACTGCAACAAAATTACATTCTAAACCACATAGTATAACTCACAAATAGTTGAAAGTTTATTTGCTAGTATTAAAATAAATAAAATATAATAAATAATTATTTTTATTTGAATTTATAAAATTTTATAAAAAACTATAAAATTATTTTAGATAATGGTACTTGGACTCAGTTATGGCTAGTCACTGATTATCATGAAAATGGATCCTTATTTGATTATTTAAAAAGAACTACAGTAGACAGTGCTGGAATGTGTAAAATGGCTTATTCCATAGCCAATGGATTAGCTCATTTGCACATTGAAATTTTAGGAACTCAAGGTAAAAAAATTATTTTTAAGATTTTATAAATATTCAAAATCCTAAATTTTGAAATCTATACTTTTATACATATATCAGTTAAAAATTGAATAATGTATAAAAGAATTCAAGAATCATAATAAAGGTTAATTAATTATTAAGAGATACTTGTAACACTCATTATATTTATTATAAGAATCTCTTGATAAATTTGTAATAACAAAATATGTAATATTTACATGCTTGATTATTAAATTACACTTCTAATAATAATAAAACAAATTATTGATATTTGTATTGAATTTGTTTTGATTGCATATCTAAATATTAATATGAACCTCGTGTAAATATTTGAGTATAATATTATTTTCAGTTTAAAAAATTTCTCCTATAATTCTTGCAATATGAAGTGAAATATCAATAGAAAATGTAAAAAATAATTATTGAAAGTTAACTTTCATTTATTTTTCTATATTTAGGTAAACCAGCCATTGCACATCGTGATTTAAAAAGTAAAAATATTTTAGTCAAAAGCAATGGAACATGTGCTATTGCTGATTTAGGACTAGCAGTTCGATATGACTCAGTCACATATTCAGTAGATATTCCACCCAATACAAGAGTTGGTACAAAACGGTATTTAGCTCCTGAAGTACTTGATGAGACTATCAATACCAATCAATTTGATTCATTTAAACGTGCTGATATATATGCCTTTGGTTTAGTACTTTGGGAAATTGCTCGACGATGCAATGTTGGAGGTCAGTACATTTTTCTATTTAAATACTCTTTTTTTGATATTATACACTGCTGGCCATTAAAATTGCAACACCAGGAAGGAATGATCGTATGAACATCAAAATCATATGAAAGGAAGAAGAGGTTGATATATGCAAATGATTAGTATTTCAGGTCATTTAGACAATGCAGGAGGGACAAATGACATCTGAAGCACTGCATAAAAGAAAAGTTGTGCAGTGGATTTCTCATTCAGAAATCATTTTGACTATTGAGAATGTGGATTATCGTTCCATGATATTGCCACTCGCACTGGGCGAAATCCAACCACTGTCATGCGAATATGGAATCGATGGGTTGCTGAGGGTCTTACTGAACAGCATGCAGGATCTCAACGCCCTCCCATGACTAATGCCTGAGAGGACAGACATATTGTGAGGTCGGCTGTGCAAAATCGTACAACCACATCACGGGCCATTAGTCAGGAAATGAGCTTGTTTGCAGCACGTCCAGTATCTGGTGTGATGATGTTTGCAGCAGTGTGGACTGTCAGCACTGCAACCATTACTTCGGCTTCCCTTGACAATGCAGCATAGAGAGAGACGGCAACTCTGGTGCACCCAATGACAAAGCTGGATACAGGAGTGGCACAATGTCTTTTTTTCAGACGAGTCCCGGTTCTGCGTGCAGCATTCTGATGGCCGTATATGTGTCTGAAGGCTCTCAGCAGACCGTTCGTCGCCTGCTTGCATTTGATATTGGCTTAGGGGCCCTGCACCTGGTGTGATGATATGGGCAGCCATTGGGTACATGACACACACATCTTTAGTTCAGATTGATGGTAATTTGAACGCAGATCGGTACATTTCTGACATCTTGCATCCAGTGTTGTGCCCTATCTTCGAGGCCTGCAAAATGCCATCTTCCAACAAGATAATGCAAGACCTCATGTTGCACATTGTGTTCTGACCTTCCTCGATACAGAGGATATTCAATGTTGCCCTGGCCTGCACGGTTTCTAGATCTCTCACCAATTGAAAACATTTGGTCATGGGTTGCTGAGAGACTGGCCTGCCACCCCCTCTCCTGCTAATACAGTTGACGAAATATGGCATAGACTTGAAGCAGCATGGAATGAATTGTCTGTTTCTGTCATCCAAGCCCAGTTCGACTCCATGCTTAAACAGATAAGGGCCGTTTTAGCCACCGGGGGTGGCAACTGTGTTTACTAATTTTGCACCCCTGTAAATCCCCAAACTGCTTGCAAATTTTATAATTTTGTCTTTATTGCTATACTGTTTATGTGCAATAAATATCTTTTTTTTTTATTTGCTTTCCTTCTTGGTGTTGCAATTTTAATGGCCAGCAGTGTATATGAAAGAAATAATGCATGTTATTGTATATATTATGGAATAATTTATAATATCAGTTTTATTGAGATTGCATCAAACTGTGTAAACCATAATCTTATTTAATACAATAAAAGCTTGATATTATGGACTTTGCATTATTATGGATGGCTGACATTTGACCAAAAGTATTGGAATTTTATAAGAAAACTCATCTGCTGTAACAGATTCCTTTATAACAGATTCTTGCTAGTACAGACTATTTTTTAGGTCCTGCAGACCACCATCCTTCTGTTATTGTAGATATTTTAGTTGCCATTTTATTTTGTAATAGTTGTCATTTTATTTACTTTATTTGAAAAAAATAAATACAAAAGTCATTTGTATTGTTTATCCAACACAATGTAGTGTAACTTAACGGTCACTTGGGTTTCTTGGCTTTCATCTTTGTTCTAGTTGATACGTGCTTACATCTCGCGTTTTGTGCTAAATATGCCCCTCTTTAGTCATCTAAAATTATTAAGAATAAAAAATCTTTTAACATGCAATACTTTAAAAAACCTCCTACACTATTTAAAAAGGATGTAGACAAATTAGTTAACTCACCAGCATACCTGGATATTACTGATTCGGCAATCTGAACAAAGTTTCATACAACACGCACTCAACCTATATGTATTCTGGCATGTCTACATATGTATTCTGGCATGTCTGTTTTGGCAAATATATCATTATTTGTGTTGTTAACTATTACATTATATTATTTCACATATTTTCTACATANACTGATTCGGCAATCTGAACAAAGTTTCATACAACACGCACTCAACCTATATGTATTCTGGCATGTCTACATATGTATTCTGGCATGTCTGTTTTGGCAAATATATCATTATTTGTGTTGTTAACTATTACATTATATTATTTCACATATTTTCTACATATGTATTCTGGCATGTCTGTTTTGGCAAATATATCATTATTTGTGTTGTTAACTATTACATTATATTATTTCACATATTTTCTACATATGTATTCTGGCATGTCTGTTTTGGCAAATATATCATTATTTGTGTTGTTAACTATTACATTATATTATTTCACATATTTGCCATTAACATACCTTGATTAATCCGTTTTTTATCTTACATGGTTAAATCATGATAAGGAGAAGTACACGGTTAATATGATATTCCATTTTGACTAAAATTTCAATTTTATATTGAGTTACAGTTATTACAAAATTCAATTAATATAAATATTCTTGTGAGATGACATAACTGCTATAAACTTGTATTCCTTTTTTATTCACAATAATCCAAAAAGACAAAGAAACAAAACTTATATTCCACTAATAAATTATCATTTTTGGGGTTAAATTCTACTTGGATAATACTACTAGTAGTTATACAGTCTTCAAACCACTAAAGTTATTTCTTCATTTCTGATTCGGTTTTGTCCTCTTTCTATGTCGCATCACCATAGTGCTCATTAGCATATTCTGTCGTCTTAAGTTAATTAATACTGAATTGAATATTTCATATTTATTTTTTAGGACTATTGTTGAAAAAATTTTTTTATATATTAATTTTTTATAATATTTTAAACCAGTTTTTATTTATTTTTACACTTGGATTTTTATTTATACTATTTCGGCTTTTAAAAATTTCAATACTTTCTTTAAACTTTGTTATATATTTTTGGCTCTTTATGTAAAATTTTTATATTATTTTGAATAATATAATACAAAAGTTATATAAAATTCATTTTTTAAATGTAGATTTTCACATTACATCTAGTTTTTGTTCATTTTCTGATTGACTAGTTTTGTACAGTTTTGGTTTCATTTTCTCTGAATGACGAGTCTTGGATTTGTTGCATTGTCATATATGGGAAGTTTGTATTCTCCGGGGGCTGTGTGTGTGTGTGTTGGTAGGATCCTTCCTATTTCTAAGTAATGTGAAAATAGTTGGGGAACATTGTATGCAATCTGGAGGTCATCGAGACAGGCTGTTTGGTTGAAAATAACAGATAAGGATTGGTGGTATTTCACAACTAGACAATGTTTCCATGTTTTGTCTTCCCTTGCATTCTGGTCACTCTACAATGTGAAATGAGTTTTTAAGATCAATATTCTTAACAAGGTGGTTGGAAAATGCATATGCTATGTTGTGTTTATTAATTAATTCTGTTTCAATGTCTTCTGTAGATAAGCAATACATGTACACTTCCTTGATGAGACCCTATAAGTCAATGTTTTAAAGCGATGTGATAAGGACTTAGTGATATACTGGCTCCACAAGAAGGTCATTATTGAAATAGGGGAAAGATCATGTTGTGGCAAAGCACATGGGAAAGCCACCGCTGCCCTCTCTGTTTGCGCTTCAGGTGAGAATGTGGATCATTTACTCCAACATGCCACTCTTCTCAGGACTCTCACTCTTCTTCCCAACAAGAGTCAACACAGTGGAGATATGAGGGCCCAGAAAATTTTTAAAGCTACATTAAGGGATAATTGTGTCAATTACAAGCTTGAGAAACCTGTTTCCAGAGCAAGGCAAACATGTTATGATTTGTCACTGTGAACCAATGAAAATTACTTATTTCAACAATGTAACAGTATTCTAACAGTTAAAGTTTTTAAAGTTTGTGTTCCATTGTACATTAGCATTCCATTTTAGAGCTCGATTGTTCCTGAGGAAGGTCTTCAGCATAGGCCAAAAACATTTGAATTGCTTTTTTTTTTTTTTTATCCTGCTGGATTGGATGTAAGGTTACTGAAACATACATAGTTACTGTCCAGTTTAAGTATTTGTTATATAGTAGAGAGGTTGAGGCGCACATTTTAAACGTGTAAACGTGTACGTGTGACGTTCGGCGCCGCTTTCCCGTAAGCCTAAAAGTGNGTTATATTATTTAAGTTTATGGTTCTCCCATTGTAACAGGCAATTGCCGTATTACAAATAAAGCGTAATTTGGATATAACATACCAATTTTTTATTTAGTCAAAAATTTAAGTCTGTTTAAAATGATTAAAATATTTATCACAAAGATAATACAGTAGCCCTAAAAATTCTGGGCTTTTACTAAACAGATTATACATACTATGGAATCTCTATCCTCTTATTCTTTCATCAGTAAATATTTCTGATATAAAATAAGCTGAGTTTCTCAATACTGAATTTTATTCATGGTTATATTGTATTAATTGACATTTACGTAAACCTCGATACCATGAACGTTCGTCCATTTAGCATTATTGTTTCTTTAACAATGACATTTAAACACAAGTACTGTCAATATAAAAACAAATTATCAATTGAGATTTTATTATATGATACTATATTTCACAATTAGTAGCTTATTAAAAATTCATATAAATTATATTTTTCAATAAAAATTATAAATACAGTAATTGAAAATTTTAAAAATAAATATTTAACATAGAACATCAAAACCTATAAAATTACAGAGTAAAAATTCTCTAAAAAGCAAAATAAAGTTACTACTATATAAACATTTCACAACTTTCCCTTCAGAAATAAACAAATTTTTTCTTTATACATTATGTGGTGAACTGGAAATTTCACACCTTTATACAAAGGTGTGAAATTTCCAGTATTGCCTCAATTCACATAAAGTGTAAAATTTCAAATTCACAGAAACTTGTAAAT